CACACACACACACACACACACACACACACACACACACACACACACACACACTCAGGGCCTCTCAGCCAGGCTTGTTCCTCACATTTGAGTTTGTGGTTCCTGAGCTGTTGGTTTACACAGTATGTTAGACAAAGAGTGTAGTACAAAACATAAATTATGGTCCAACTAAAAGCTTCATACAGTACAGATATAAAATATAAACTGCTGTTGACAGCTATATGCATTGTAACAAACGGGCCTCAGTGGAAGAAGCATACACAGCCACAAATTTTGATACAGGCACAATCTGGGTTACCAGAAGATCACAACAACTGGCAAGTTTTTCATCCTTACAAATGTAGCAACAGGCTTTCCAGCTGTACAGGATTTATTGCTGCAACAATGATCAAACCCAAATGTTCTTACTTTCTTTGCTAGGCTTAGTAGACGTCTACAATCTTATACCAGGTTATATTAGACTGAAAAAATAGCTCACAGGATACCAGCATTAATGTTTCTATTTAAAATGTATCATCACTTATAGTGACATTTGCAACACTTTATGGAATCAAAGTAATGTAAAATAAAGCAGTTTATTATATTCACCTTCATCACTCAGAAATCACATTTTTAAAAGTATAATCTTACATTAGGTTTGTTGGGCAAATTTCTCTGTAAATTGATGGGTTACAAACAAACCTCAATAACTCCTGCAGTATTTTACTTGATCTTATTTGATCGTACTGTTCCTTCATGAATGTCTAATGATGGGAAATAAAGTGTTGGCTCATAATAAATCCCTCGTATCGTGACTTGGGCTACATCTTATGTAAACTGTACAGCAGGAGCAACCACGTGGTCAGATGTGGTTTGATTACAGTTTATGGTGTAGTTTTCATCTAGGCCAACAGATGATCCTGTAATTACCTGCATCGTCCTCTAAGCTCAGTGGCACTATCTAAAGAGCTGTGGTGATGTCATTTGGTATATCACAACACTGCATTGCCAAAATTGTTCACTCATCCATCCAAATAATGAAATTCAGGTATTCCAATCATTTCCATGGCCACAGGTGTATAAACTCAAGCACACAGGCGTGCAGACTGCATGAATGAGTCGCTCTCAGGAGCTCAGTGAATTCCAGTGTGGTACCGTGACAGGATGCCACCTGTGCAACAAGTCCAGAAATTTCCTCGCTACCAAATATTCCACAGTCATACTGCAGTTATAACAAAGTGGGAATGTTTGGGAATGTTCTCTGGGTACCTCAGCTTTGTGCCACTGCTCACAGACATGCATGTTACACTAATCGCCATCTCTCTATGGTGACCTGTGAGAGACTGGCAACCCATCCAGGATGCACCTTGCTTCTTGTCCCATATTAGCTGTAACAGGCTCTAGTCACCATTCTTACCCTGAAATGACAAAGGGTCAAATAATTCAGCAAGGAAAGTGTGCAGAATCCATCCATACACATCCAGTGCAGCAAGATGCGGGTGCTTCTCAGCATGTATGAAAGAAGAAAAGATTTAAAAGAAGAGTGCCTCGTCCAGCAGATGGACACAGGGTTTGGTATATTATCTACCACCCAGCCCTCCTCTGTAAACTGACTGGTGCTTGTACCTTTGTACTCAGCTGATCATTCAAAGGACTTGCTACTAAGTCTCATTCACACATTCACACAGTGCCCAAGCAGTTTGTAATTCTTCTCTGGGGTTCATTACGCTGCCCAAGAAGTTAGGGATCGATTCACCGACCTAACGCTTTACATTCAACCTACTTTCAAAATATTCTTACTGTTTTGTTCCTGAATCGGGCACATGTTAAAGTGCACACAGGTCAGTGAGTGATGGTGCTAAGTGGGGCAGCTGATTGCATCATGAGCGCAGAGCAGGCTGGAGGTCCAGGAGACATCGCTTTATCTCCTCAAGGCTGATGGAGTGGCTTTTAACAGGTTGTCCTAACCCTCCTGCCCCCAACCGCCCGCCACCCCAACTAGCCTCTAATCAGATCACAGCTAGTCAAGGCTGCTGATTCCCTTGGGCACAACACCACCACTGACAGCTGGAGGGCTAGGGTGGTGGGGGTGTGACAGGATGGATTTCAGACACGATTATGTAAGAGCCCAGAACCTGAGGCTTACTATCTGCAGGAGATAACCATCTTGCTGCGAAGGCGTGTTTATTTGCCTCATGTGTTGGTGTTTCTGGTCTCACCTTGGCACACAGCATCACACGCTGCCCTTCACAAATGCTAGCCACTGAGATTGTGTTATCTCTACCACAGTCCAACATCCTCTCTCTTTGATAAAACACATAGATGTTTTACACAGTGATAAGATTCCTGGCCTGGACCCCTCAGTTGTACAGGACAACCAATGCTTCACAACTTCAGGATGGAATCTAAACAGTCAGGATTTTTCTCTTTCCGTTCTTTATCTCATTTAAGCTTCACAAGTTCTCTAAAGAAGCACTTTTTTCATCTAATGAGTCTTAAATCTACAAAATGGAATAATTTATTCAAACCAGTCAAAGTCAGGTGAAGTAAGTTAATAGTGATCAGTAGTAGTTTTTATGGCTACCTCACGACAAGACTCTCGGGTTCTGTTTCCAACCACACACCATGTCAGTAAGTTCAGGTAATCTTGGTGCACCATGGAAATAAAGCTTACACCCGAAAGGGAATCCACCCATCCAAGGTTTGTTGTCATTATCCATCCTCTTTCATTGTAGTGGAAACAAAACTCCACGGCAGGTGGTGATTTCTCTCTGTGATATTGTGAAGTCGTGACTTTTCTTTCTTAAGTGCCACGAGATGTCTTATGATTTGGTAAATATATAAGTCAGATGAATGTTACATTTATAATGTGGCAACTCCAAACACAACATGAATCTAAATCAACTGTGTATGCGCTCAAGGTCATGTGATGTATGGAGTGTAGGCTGTATGTAAAGGATGGACATGGTCACCTGGTCTGAACAATGAAGCCCATGATGCACGTTTAAGTTGAATGTTCACACACCTGCGAGGTTTTAATGCATGTTTAGTGTGATACCCACAACATGCTCAGTGAACACTAAAGCTAAATATTTTGGCGATAACTTTAAAAGCATTTGAAATATCTTCGAGCACTGCAATTCAGATTTTAAATGTTTAGCATCAATCCTTCATGTTTAAGGAAGCGTTAAAAAGAGGTGATGATGTCCAGGCAGGTAGTTGAGAGACTCTCAGCAGGCTGTGTGTGTTTGGTGCTTACTGACGTAACACCTGATCTATTTTTCTTTTACAACAACTTTGTCAGAAAAAATTCCAACTGACCAGCCTAGAGGAACAGTTTCTTAGTTTCTTAGTATCACAGGACATTTTTAGGTTTGGCCACAGATGGAAAAACGTGGTCTGACATGTCCTGGTCAAAAATGACTCCAGAACTAGTCCTGGAAGCCATGATGACGCCATCCACTGACGTACCTGGTTAGACGCCATGTTTCTGAGGGTTTTAGCTTCAGATCCAAGAACTTCAGACATTTATGGCTTTTAGACAAGAAATTCATTTTGAGTATGGTTTGGTTAAATGTATTTCCTCCCACTAAACTATGATGTCATTGTTTCACGTGCTGCTTTAACCAAAATATTTTCTGCTTATATTCCAAGAAGCGCTTTGTCAGCATTCAGAGATTCTCCTCAGGTGTGTTTCACTGATAACACAGCTCTCAAATCTGTGAACTGCACAAAAGCACAAAGCATTGATTCAGTCAGTGAAGTTGTTACTTTTGTGCACAGATATCAGATGTGCTGCTGCATAAATCTTTCAAGCATGCGTCCCAGTTAAGGTGAAGGACTTCCTGAGGACATATTTATTTTGACTAATGAT